CCACAACCTTCTGACCTGATGAGAGTGTTACCACTGAACAATCCTGCAGCTAAAAAAAAGGAAATTCACTTCACTTTATGATTTTTATGGGCCATTGCTGTGTGTAAATTGGCTACCACATTTGTCTGCAAAATACTCATGCATTCCACTTAACAGGACAATCCGTGAAGCGCTTTGAGATGTTCTCCTCCTGTATCAAATGCAATTATCATAATTAGCAATGTACAAATTCAGTGTCTAAAGAATGGTCCTTTGCCACACAGTTGAACTACTCTGGGAAGACAAGTTATGAAGTGAAGAGACACCTAAACTACAGAGGTATGGGAAACGGACAGATAAATGGGACTCTTAAAATACCCAGCACATATAAAATAATCCTTGCATTTGATACAGCGCTTTTCACGTCAGGAGGACATCCCAAAGCGCTTCACAGAACACACTGAAAAGTGAATTGATTGTATATTTGTGGGCGAATGCGGCAGCCAATTGTGCACAGCAATGTCCCACAAACAGTCGTAGATTGAAAATGACCAATTTTTTATTGTTTTGGGTTTTTGGAGGGATTATTATTAGGCGTGTGGAGTAAGGAAACTTGCCCAAGCTTTTGCCCTGCCTGGAATTGAACTCCGGTCTTTCGCTTGCAAAGCGAGTGCTCTAACCACTGAGCTACAGGACTCCACAGGAGTGGTGCACTGGTTGATTCAGTGAGTTTGAAAGAGGTCTTGAAGGCTGAGAATATCGTACGATGGTCCAAATGGCCTTTCTGTGCTGTTAATTTTTCTGTTTCCTTCCTAAGCAGTTCCTGATGAAGGAATGGAAAGAAAAGGGGATGCACCCAAGGTAGCTGAGCCAAGAGGATGGATAGAGGATTGAGGCAGGAGATGATTGTTGAAACAAGCAAATGCCATGGATTGTTTCATTGAGACTGAGGACCTTGAAGTTGATATGATGGGAGACAGTGAAGCCTGGCAAAAACTGCGGTTATGGGACGTCCTTTGGGTTGTCCTCCCGACATGAAGGGCGCTCTATAAATGTAATTTTGTTGTAATTTATGGCTGTGCAGTTTGGTGCAGGTGAGGATGTGAGCAGTGGAATTTTGAATGAGTTGCAGCTTGTAAATGCTGGAACTAGGGAGAAAAGTGAGGAATGTGTTCGAAAAATCTAATTGGGTTGTTACAAAGGCATGCATGAGTATTTTGGCAGGATTTAGTGTGAGATAGTGGCAGAGGTGGGTGATGTGTTAGACGTGAAGAAAAGCAATTTTGGCCAGGGTCTGAATGTGGGGGGAAAAAAAACAAAGTATCAAAGCAGATGTCAGAGTGGTGCACTGGTTGATTCAGTGAGTTTGAAAGAGGTCTTGAAGGCTGAGAATATCGTACGCGGAAGAGAGGAGATGTTAATGGGAGCCGAGGAGAATGGCTTCTGTCGTGCATATTGAATTGGACGATTTGGTACATCCCTTCCTTGATGTCTGACCAGGTAGTGGACAGTGCATCAGCGGACCTGGAATCGGACACATTTGTGGTACAGTTGATTCGTGTTTCATCATTCATACAGTAGAAGTAAACGCCATGTCTGCTGATGACATTGGCAAGAGGGAGCAGGCAGAAGAGGAAAACGAGGGGGACAGAGGGTGGACCCGAGAGGTACTTTGCAGGTATGAGGGTGGGAGGAGAAGAAGTCGGAGGAGACAAAGTGGAGGCAGTGAGTCAGGTAGAATTGAAAAGAGCACAGTGGTCCTGCAGAGGTGGATGAGTGAAGAGAGGTAATTGAAGAGGATGAAATGATCAAACATGGCTGAGATTAAGGAGTCAGGATTAGCCCTAATTGCACAGTGTGCATATATTTGGTCACTTTTGACGAGGGCTGTCTCAGTGTCATGGGCAAGAGAAATGGGGATTATGGCACAGAGTTCTTTAATGAATATTTCAATGAATCGTGCTCTAATTCCATACCAAAGTTTTACAACCATTTATGTTTGTGCTTTTCAACCTGGGAGAGGATAGGAAGAAATTTAAGGTTTAAGACACTCTATGTCAGGTCCACAAAAATAGGAATGGTCTTCCAGTGAAGTTTCAAATGCAGTTTGCTCATAGAATTCATGTTGATGAAAGCTGTGTGTTGTGAAAGTAATGTGAATGGCTCGCGGGTAATTCTGCAGTTAAACACAAGTCCTGTGTGGATTGTGCAAGTGTTCCTGGGGAGCAGTAGGGTGTGGAGAGGTCCTCTTTACTGCTTTCCTCTTTTGGAATTTTAAAAAATAACTGAACAACACAGAATCACTGCTTAGGTGAAATGCATAAGTTTCCCCCCCCGCTACAATACATCGAAAACAGTCTTTATATTTAAATCTGTTTTAAATGCCATCGTGTTTCAAATGCCTTTATATCAAAATAGTACCACCCTGGCACAGTTGGTCACACTGGTGCCCTGAGGTCAGGAGGCCGGGTATTCAAGTTTTGTATTGTGGCTTCTGAGAACATGGTCTGACTCCATTGTTGGAAGTACTATCTTTTGTATAAGACATTAAACTGAAGTCTCATCTGGCCCTTCAGGTGAATGTTGCAGAAACCATGACACAATTTGTAAAGAAAAGGGAGTTTCTCCTTGTGTCCTAGCCAACAATTCTCTAATTAAATTTGTTGTTTGCCTTCTGGCTGCTCGCGGAACACTGATGTGTCCAAATGTGCAAATTGGCTTCTACATTTGCTTATAAATAGTCTCTACACTTAACAGTAATCACTGCAAAGTGCTTGAGATTTAGAATGTGATAAGGTGCTCAATCTAATGCAAGAATGATTGTTTTAAGCTTTCCAGCAGCTCACCACCAGATGGCAATTGCAACAAGTGGAGCTAGCCCAATGTGCTGCCAGTATTTAATGAATTTTTGTTGTTGGACTAAAATGTTTTCCCCTTTCCCCCCTGGAGTTTGTTCATTGCATGACTTTTGATAATCAGCCATGCAATAAAAATAAGTCTTTGGATTTGTGGACTTTTTCTAAGCAGCAGTTAATTATGGCAAGGTGTATTGGTGCATGAGCAGCATGAGCTGGTATTAATAATTATTTCTGACCAATTAAGTTTTCCACTTAAACAAAGAAATAATTGAACATGAAAGTGAGCATTGCAGTTAATATGATGAAGAGAAAAACTATCGTGTTTGTTGAGGCAAAAGAACAAAAAGTCTCCCTGTTTGCAAAAGCTACCTTTTTGGAATGTCTTTATAAAAAACATTTTTTCAGATTAGTGCGTCCAATTAATTTTCTGATTTCTCGCCTCCCCTCCAGCTCTGTTTCTTGTTCCAAGCCTCCATGTTGTTTCATGCTGGGGTGCAGTTCCACAGGTGTTTGTTACCGTATGCTTCCTTGCCCAAATAGCCATTTTTCATGTGTGAGCTTTGCCTCGGCAGTCAGCTCCACGCTGCAGCATCACTACGAAATGTCTCCAAGAGTTTCATAGTATTTACTGTGAATAGCATTTATTCAGTTGCTCATTTAGTAGTCATTTGCAGGAGCTGTTTAGTACACTGCAAAGTCTCAGTGAGGTGAACGATCAATTTTTATAATCCCAAGCCTCCATCTTCAAATCTATGCTCCACTTGTTTCTGATCTGTAAAACCAAACATTGCATTAAAACAAACCCAATTTGCCAGCGCAAACACGATGGGCCAAATGGCCACCTCCTGTACTGTAAATTTCTATGGTTCTGTTATCTGGGACATTATTGGCCAGGGCACCAGGAGAAACTTTTTTTTCACATTGTGCCATGGAGTCTTTAATGTCTGTCCACAGTAGAAGGGACCACAGTTTAACGTCTCATCTGAAGGATTGTAACAGCAACAATGCAGCACTCCATCAGCAGTGCTTTGGAGTGATAGACCAGACTGTGATTTCAAAGTCCAAACTTGAGGCATGGCTCACAACATTCTGACTCATAGACGAGAGTACTACCAACTGAGCTAGACTGCCAATTCTATTATGTGTCAATGAAAAGTTTCTGATACATTAGTAAAGGGAGATGCAGATGTTTCCTACCAACCTCTCACAAAATCCTATTATCTTGTCCAATTTTCAGGGAGAAAAATCTACAAATACTTGCTTTTGGCTCCTATGTGGTTGCTCAGTTTCACATTCATCAAAATATACCCGAATATTTGAAAAGAAAATGGAGTTTCTCCTGGTCAACACATATTCCAGAAAAGAATAGTCATAAATATCATGACTGGGATATTGTCGCCATGTTTGCCTGCAAAATACATCGTCAGTACCCGTGTCAATAAACGAAACGCAAAATACTGCAGGTGCTGGAAATCTGAAACAAAAACAGAAGTCGCTGGGAACAATCAGTGGATCAGGCAGCATCTATGGAGAAAGGAAAATGGGTCAACGTTTTGGGTCCATGACCCTTGTCAGAACCCTTTGTCGTGTTCTGACAAAGGGTCGTGGACCCAAAACGTTGACTCACTTTCCTTTCTCCATAGATGCTGCCTGACCTGCTCAGTGTTCTCAATGACTTCTGTTTTTGTTTCCCATGTCAGTAAATCCTGTTTGAGACTTTCCATTGACATAAGATACTACTTCAAATGCAAGGATTATTATTCATCATTAATAATATAATTTAACGTAAAGATGGACGGTTCATGGAATACAATGAACACAAAAAAATATTTTTGTTGACAGAACAGTAAAAGCTTTGCTATAAGTTCAGCACCATTTTAAAAGACCAAAGATTTCCAAAGTGGGCATATGATTAATGATCAAACCTTGCTGTGCTCAAATGGCCTGCCACATTGCCTACAAATGCACCGTTGGTACACTTGACTGCAATTGTCATTGAAGTGATCTGAAAAGTTTACAGAAGTCTGTATATTATTATTATTGTAAGTTGATCCAGCAAAAAAAATGCTAGATTTCTGGGTTCTCTGCTGTATTTTTTAATAAAAGTTGATGCCTTGCTTTTCTTACAAATATGGATTTCTGATCATTTGGCTTTGTTCATAGATAAGGAAAGATCTTCTGTTTCCTCCTTGACCCCCTCTAGAGATGAGTCTCCATCTAGTTCTACGGTTGCTTCAAAGGCAAGTTATCTAAATATATTTTGTGTTTCTGGCATATTTTAATATTGTTTTGCTTCTTTGCCTTATCACTCTGGTTGATAAATTTACTTGCCAAGCCACAGAAAAATCTACCTATGTCTTTCTCCAAAACGCTTTGGTTGTTTTCAAGCATTTTTTACCTAAATGAGGTAGAGTCAAACTGACATGCTGCAATTGTTTTCCTCTCTCTATTTATCTGAGCTCTCTACTTCAGTTTGTGACTGCTTTGTGCCAGGCTGACTTATTTGGAAGCACCCTCGCCTCTGAGTCAGAAGATTACCTCTCCAGGATGTGGGCAGCAGAGATTTTTTTAAGCAGTTGGAATTTGTAAAATGGTGAGCTGGGGAGATGGATGTGGAATCAATTGAAGAAGTGGGGCAGGAGATGACAAAAGTGTGGATGAGGGTTTCAGCAGCTTTTGGTGTGAGACATTATTGGAGGCAGGCGACGTGAAGGAGAACAGTGGTCAGGGACTGGAGATGCAGTAGGAAGGACAGCTGGAGCTCAAACCTTAGATTCACTAAACCTAGGTTTGAGCTCCAGCTGTCCTTCCTACTGCACCTCCAGTCCCTGACCACTGCCCTCTACCTCCTTCGCATCCAACAATGTCTCACACCAAAAGCTGCTGAAACCCTCATCCACACTTTCGTCATCTCCTGCTCCACTTCTTCAATTGACTCCACATCCATCTTCCCAGCTCCACCATTTTACAAATTCCAACTGCTTAAAAAAACTCTGCTGCCGCATCCTCACCTGCACCCCCATTACCTCAGTCTTGCCAGTATCCATTGACTCCCTATCACAGAACGGAGCAATTTTCAAGATCCACACACTTGTCTTCAAATGATTTAATTCCCTATCATTTCCCTATCCCTCCAACCTGCTCACACCTATGCTCTTCAACCTACCCACATTATTTCGCCTGCTCAGGCTTTATGTGCGCCCCCCACTTCTCTGGTGCACGATCATTGGCCGTGCCTTCAGCCACTATGCCCCGAACCTATGGAACTCCCTGCCTCAATCTCTCCACCTTGTCCCTCTTCACCTGTGTTCAAAGCACGCTTGAAGACCTTCCTTTTCAACTACGCCTGCGGTCACCTTCCCTTTCTCCCCAACTAAATGTAAAATTTGACCATTGTTCAGCTTACCAAGCCACTATCCCGCATGAAGGGCTTTATATCAATGCAAGTTGTTGTAAATTTAACATCCACGTCAGGACTTAAGCTCGTTGTCTAGGTTGACATTCCGCAGTGCTGTCAGTTTGATGCGATTAGGCACTATATCAAATGCGAGGATTATTGTTTGTAAATGCATCAGTGGTTTGTGGTTTTATTAATGAACATCAGCTATATGCCAATTTGTTGCAAAATCTTTCACTGGAAACAATTTGCAGCACTACGCTAACCTCCAGAATTACTGTTTGTTTTATATACCAATTACTTTGCCTTTGTGACCTGTTTGTCATAATGCCAATGAAACTGTCTACCTTGTGCTCATTGGAGGTACAGCACTGCTCTGTGCTCTGATCTGCTCATCTTTTCCCAACCTCAAACATTGCCTATCTCTGCCACAATACAATACACATTTACATTTATTTTGCGCCTAATTTCAGGAGGAAATTCCAAGGCATAGCCTCTCGGACACACCGAGACTCTTAATTACACATTTATTATGTCCGGGTTTGACTACATCAACTTTCTGCTCACCAGACTCCCACCTCTTACTTACATAAGCTGCAGACTCTACTGCCAGTGTCCTTTCCCACACCAAGCTCTGCAGGCCTGTTATCTCCATCTATGTTTTGTTCCATTGTCCCAATCTCCCAGCGGATTGAGTTGAAGATTCTCATTTTAACCTTTAAATTCCTCCAAGTCTTGTCCCATACAAGTTCTGTGATCTCCACAAACCAATAACAGCCCAGCGTTCTTCAGGTACTTCACCCTTCCTACCCCACAGTCGGCGGGAGAGCTTTTCTGTCCTTACTCTCTGGATCTCCATCCTGAGTCCCACCAATTCACTTGCTCCCCTGCCTCATTCAAGGTCCATCTTAAGGCCAAGTTCTTAGACAGGGCTTTCGGTCATCTTTCCCCTCCCCATACCCTCGGCTGCCAACACCCTATTTGGTTGCCCAGTCAGTACTGTTAAACACTGCCGCACAGTGGGCAAAATATACTCCAAATAGAACACAATTTGTTTTACTGTAGAGAAGCTAGATCCTTTCGTGACAAAGGTAGACTTTCTACCCTTTTCTTCTTTTTCCCATCCCCTTCATTCAAAGGAATTCTGAGTTCCTACAATGGATGATTCCCATGTACATTTCTCACAGTCCCAGTTATTTCTTAGTACAATTCTGAACCAGAAAAATTAGTTCTGCGCCTGCCAGCATCAAAAGAGCTAAGTGCTATGGGTGCATTTTTGAATGAAGCATCACGTAGGTCCTGGGAAGAAAGCAAACTTGATAAAGAATTGGGAGGAAATTAGATATGAAGCATGGACTTGGTTTCCAACAACCCCTTTTCTGGCAAAGCAAGATAAAAATTGTCACACGGTTCAAAACTTGCAATTTCTAAATTCTTCTGCTTACCTGGAGATTATGGAACTTAATTTCATTCATAATTGGTGGAGGCAGGAGATAGATATACTTTTTCTTGTATTCTTCATTGTTTTGGGGTAAGTGAACTTATAACTTGCTAAAGGAGATTCTTTTTACAATTGGTTATACTTAACCTGACTTGGGAGACTGCCAAGTAACGTGCCCATTTATTTATTTTAGAGTGCAAGCTTTGAAAAGGCCAGCAAGAGTTCTGACAACCTGAATAAAGAAATTGTAAATGACTGGTCTGAAAAGCAGCAGATTCCAGAGTTGGAAATATCTGAGCATAGTGAAAGCTTTGTAAGTATGATGATTTATGGTGGGTTACTATTTCAGATGAAAATAGTATCTCCTTCAAATTTGTATTTTTAATATATATTTACTTTCCATGTTGGCAGTCACAATTCAATGTAGAAGACACTTTTATACAAGTGGAGGTAGCTTATTGGAGATGCTGTCAAACCTTTCTGTTTCTCAGCTATTAAGAGACATTTTAGAGCTCATAAAATAGAGATGCACGAAGCAATTCAAGAAACAATTTTAATAAAACTTAATTTTCTATTTTCTTTGGTTGCAGGATGGTGTTCAAATGCAGAATTCAGAGAAGTTGGATGGTCTGGAGACGAATGCTCGGAGCAGCATTGATCTTATTGACCTAACTCAAGCTGACAACCGCACCAGAGCAATAGCTGAAAAAACCAAGGAGATTGAAGAGGTCAGCATCTTTAATTTTTTTCTCCAATTAAGTTGAGCTTGAAACAGATTCAGACATTGACTGTGATATTACCAATTCAGAACTTTTGTACATGCTAATTTTCTTTGCAACTAGTCAGGAAATGTATGCAGTAACTACAAGTGCTATTTAAACACAGCATTGCAGAAAAACCATAAATCTGTCAGCTGTAAACAGGACTTACAGTGATTTGAAAAACATTGTTTCCCCGCTTTTGAGGAGCCTCTTTATAATACTAAGTTAAACTGGAAAACTTCACTGGGTTACATTTCATCCGAGCAACTCGCCCTATTCCTATAGCTGTTCAAAGTTGGTTTGTTTTTCCAGCATATTTTTTTTACCATCTCAAACTATAATGAAAGATATCAAATTGTTTGTTAATCACAACATAATCAGCAAATTAAATTGTTATGTATTCCTCCATAGCTTTGTTAAAGACGAAATTTAACCCAATTCAGTTCTTGGAAGAGAGTTTTATTTTTATGTATAAAATGATAAAAGGAAAAATAATTAACTAAGAAGTTGGCTTTATATCCTAAAAGCATCGGGTAAATGCTTGACTTTCATCATGGGGTTGTCAGCATGAATGGATACAGCATAAGCCTTCATTATACATTTCCTTTATACCAAGGGCTGGATAAGTAATTAATTAAAATTAATGAGATGCAGCATGGAAGGACATTAGTTTTGTTCTCCAGTCTTCTGTTTTCCCCAGTCTAAGCTGCAGACTGGATGTGGAGATCGGTTGTCAGATGTCTCCTGGTCGTCAACCAACAGCAACACCGTATAGTTGCTGAGGAAAATGCTGTTCTTTTCTTTTCCTGAGATACGAAGAAGCAAAGAATAGCAAAGGAGAAGAGAGAATTTTATAAACCCTCTAATCAATAGAGTGTGCACGGAGCAGAACTTGGGCAGCAATGATGATGGAACTCTGATAATCCAGATCTTGGAAGAGAGTTTTATTTTTATGCAACTCTGTTTCGCCCACAAATTTACAGTCAATTCACTTTGCAGTATATTCTGTGAAGCGCTTTGAGTTGTCTGGAAGACGTGAAAAGCTCTATATCAAATCCAAGGATTATTGGGAAGGTTTCTTGCTTCCGACTGCTATACAGTTGCTGGCTTATGTGTGGTTACACTGGATCAGATTACACTGTCTTGCAAAAGACTTCTTCTCAGTTGAATCATCTGGCAATGGTAAGATCCTAATAAATGGCCACTTGAGTGAATAACTAGCAGTCTGCCCATAACCCAACCCGGCAAGTCACTGTTTTAGGAGAGATGTGAAGAAAGCAAAACTTAGTTTTTCTAAAATACAAGTATTGTTTCAAATACAGTGGAATCCGCTTTCGCTGGACAACAGTTAAATCAAACAAAACTCCCAGCCCAATTTCATTTGTATTCTTAGCTGGTATTTCAGCCAACCTCGGACACCTCTTAAGCTGGACAAAATGTCTGTCCCTAATGCGTCTGGCTAATCGGCTTCCACTGTAGATGTGGAAAGATTCCAGAATCATGTAAACAATATGGTTGAAAAGAGATGACCAAACTTTGGCCTTCGGCTTTTTGAGAACTCTTAATTTCATCTCTTGATAAACATTTGAAGCAACATTGTTCCTGAGCACTATTTCTTGTAGAGAACTATTTAAAACTGTTTACTTTGTAATTACTCCATCCTCTAAGTGCTTTGCTAATGCCATTGCTAGACTGGAGGCACACCATGATTTCAGTTGGGCATGTACAGTGTTTTTTTCTTGGATGTGAAGGATTTTGTTTTTCCTAAAATGCTTGGATCACAGTTCCATATTGTGCAAAAGTAAGACATGAAAAAAATACATGTGCCCCTTTTTAACTCATATTTGAAGAAGATGAAATGCTCAAGATTGAAATCCTTTCATCAGGCACAGAACAGGAATAGTTTTTATTCTGTAGGATGAAGCAATACAATAACATTTGTATTGAGCCTTTCACTTGGGGAGGATGTCTTAAAGCACTTGACAGCGTTGGCCTGGCACTTGAGGTTTGGGTTGGAGTCGAGGAAGGGTGGAGAGGGCAAAGATGATCGAAATCGCGGTCAAATGTGTTTTGAAGCAGACATTGAACAGAAGGGGTAGGGAACGAGTTCAAGGACTCTCCGGTGGAATTCTGGAGATAAACAGCAGAATACAAAAAAGCCCATCCGCTGATGGTGGGGCAGATATGGCAGGATACAAAGAGGGCAATGTTAGCTGAGTGAAGGGAGCGGCCAGGCCAGGAATGTTGAAGCAGCTCGCAAAAGTAGGGTAGGGCAAGAGCGTGGAGGGATTTGAATCTCATCTCTGCTAACGCATCAACCCACTTATCCCTGGTGTAAACTTAGTAAATCTCCAATTTACCCTTTCTGTGACCCTGACATCTTTATTTATTTTAACTGTGGTCTAACTAACGATTTACACAAGCATCACCCATTTGGTTTTATGCTTTATGTCCACTAATTTCCAGTTGTAGTGGTGAAATTTACCATTTTAATGCAAAAAGCCCTCTCGCCCTCCGCCTTCCCCCCCCCCCCCCCTCCTCCCCAGTGCTTTAAGGGCGCCCTCGCTATGTGCAGTTGCTTTTTTTGCCACAAATTCACCTCACTGCTTGGTTCTGGACTTCCCAAATGGGCCGAAGGAAGCCTGTCTGTTGCATACCTTGGAGCTCTGATCCATGAAAGAGAACTGTAAGCAATATCCCACAATCAGCCATGAAGTGAGTGAGCAAATTTTATCTGGAGGAATATTGACTAGGACACAGAGAGGTGCTCACTATTCTTTTTCAATAGTGTCATGGAATCTTAAACGTCCACCTAAACAGGTAGACGGGACCTCATTTCAAAACATCTTATTGTTTTTAAACAAAATAACAGAAACCTTTTTTTATATACTCAGCAAACTGATGCACTGGTGTCAGAGCAGAACATTATTTATCCCAGTGTGTGAGGAGTTATTCTTGGAAAATGCTGTGCATGATTTGTTTTTCTGGTATCAGCCCACGTTAAGAGTACTAAGTCAGGAAGAAACTCGGTGACCTGTAGATTACAGGAAAAACAATGCTAAAGTCTGCCCAAAGCTGAGAATGACAATTCTCCAGGCTGGTTAGTCATCCAAAGTAGCAAATTCTCTTTCAGGTACACAGCAGAATTCCAGTGACTTGTCCACTCACCTGTGTTTTTTCATACATAAAAGCCATTATAGTTTTGAAAATTGATCTTCTATTCTGTGTGCAGCAAGCTGTCATAATAACTAAACATATTTCACATATTTCTGTTAATCCCCGAATTTTGTCGGTTCTTGGAGTAATGGTAAATGAGGATCTGGCATGGATTTGATTGCCAGTTCTTTTGAACGAACACATGCTCATGATGTTATTTTTCTCCAAAAAATATGGTCGCTCCACAGTGTATTTGTAGGTAAACACAGCAGTCCAATTGTACACAGCAGTATCCCACAAGCAGCCATGACATGAATGATCAATTTTATTTTGGAGGTGTATTGGCCAATACACTGAGAGAAACTTTTTTTTTTCTTTTCAAGTAGCAGTGTTGAATTTTGACCGTCCTCCTGAGCAGGCAGATAGGACATTGGTTTAATATCTCATCTGAAGGACTGGACCTACAACAATGCATGCATTGGAGTATCAGCCTAGACAATGCAAAATCATGTCCCAACGTAGGGTTTGTTTCCACATCTTTCTGATTCAGAGGCAAGAGTACTACCAACTAAGCCAGGCTGACACACTGATAATGTGAAGCATGTGATATGTTACTGGATAATATCTTTCAGCCAATTACAGGGTTATTGGTGGTCTGGTAGCAACAACCCCTGCCCAAGAAGGCATTGAGCTCAGAGAATTAAAAAAAATCAAGGTAAAATATATGAAAATGTTAAGCTTATTGGAATTTTTTTTAAAAATTGCAAAATTATCTGTTGAAATCATTGAGTTGGATGTTCATTTATGTAGAGTTGTGACAAGATTTAGGGTTTCTGCTATTTTTGCCATTTTATCAATAAATTAATCCGGGGATGAATTCTTCAACGCAAAATAACTTCACTTTTTAATTCTAGAAACGTATGGGTTAACATTTGCAGTCAATTCGAGTGTTGTTCTTGTCATTTTCATTTGATCTTTCAAACCTTTGGCAACATAGTAATTCTGTTGGAAATTTAATAAATGAAGTAACATTATCCTCTTCTCCCTTTTTTAGAGGCCACACACAAGTTAAACAGTACCTCAGGGTCTGTACAATGGTGTTGGAATACTTCAATAATGTGGGTTGATCATTATCTCAAAATAAGCTTGGACAGTATGATTTATCCTACTTTTAACAGTATCCTCAAGCAATGTGGTTTCAACCAAAATGTATGCTAAATATATCCTTTATGTAAATGAACCATAAATGCATATCAGCCTGGCTCAGTTGGTCGCACTCTCGTCTCTGAGTCAGAAGGTTGTGCAGTGCTGGGGTGTGTTATATTGTTGGTTGAGAAGTTAAACGGAGATCCTGTCTGCCTGTTCAGGTGGACTTTAAAGATCCCATGGCAGGTCTCCAGAGGAGTTCTCCTGGTGACCTGGCCAGTCATCCTACAAAATAAAATTGGGCATTTGTTGCATTGCTGTTTGTATACAATTGGGATATCACATTTGCCAACAAATACACTGCCATTTCACTTGAAGAAAATGCTGTGAAACGTCCTCCCGGTGTGAATGGTCTTTTCCTAAACTCCGTGATTTTTATATGAAACATTTTAATTAAGTAGAAACTTCACTGGAAGTATTCATCAAACTAAGCTATTTATTAATGATATAAAGTGATTCCCACTGTTTCTTTTAAAATTGTAATCCAACAAAAAAGCCTGGAGACGCATCTAAGGAATCATTAAAATTGTTTTTTAATACCAAAATAAACCTGTATTTTCCCTGAGGTCTATTATTTGACACAAAATTGAGTATGTGTGGGGTGG